CCTTTTTGCTGTGTTTTAGTGAATCTGAGGGTTTTAGTGAACAGGGACGACTCCAACAGCTTTTCCCCCGGTCCCTCTCCATCTCTCAGCTCTGCTGCTCCTCTCCAGCCCCCCCTGGAAACCCTTCCCCAGACGCAGCTCCTCAGCCACGGCAGCAGCTCTGGGACGTGTCTGTGAGTGTTTAGTTTGCAAAAATGCCCGTATTTGTGAAACGAGAGCGAGTCCAACTCCCTCGCGCTGGTTCACCTGTGCTGCTTAATCTCAGTTTAATTATCAGCAAAGCCAGGGCTGTAATTTGGGTTAATTGCTTAAATTAAAGCCTTTGGGTTAAACTCGGGCTTCTCACCTGCGTTCAAACCCGGCTCCTTTCAGCCCTAATTTGCTGTCTCATCCCACGTTCCCCGAGCCCTGCCGGTCACCCCGGGGGGTTTCCAGGGGACACCCAGGACCCCTCGGCCCCCTTGGGACCCCCCGAGACCTCCCTGGTGGGGGGAGTGTCCCTGAATCCCGATTTCCCGAGGGATGGATCGGGACGGGCTCCTCAGCTCCCTTCCCACAGGAGCTGCCCCGTGCCGGCTGTTCCAGCCCTTGGAGCCCGTTCCCAGCTCCAGCTGCTGGGGCACTTTGAAGTGTAGGTGTGACCTGCTTTCTCCAGAGAGTTGTTTTCGGGGCCAGCACGGAGCCACCGCTGCAGCCCAGGCTCTGGGAACGATTCCCTGTTGCTGGGGTTGCCCCCTGGGGGGGGCTCCTTTTCCCTGGGGGTTTGGTGCTCCTTGAAGGACCCTCCAAGTTTTGGTGGGGCTGAAACCTCCTTCATCCTGATCTGGTGCTCCTTTATCCCACCCTGGTGCTCCTTTGTCCCATTCTGGTGCTCTTCTATCCCATCCTGCTGCTCCTTTATCCCACTCTGTTGCTCCTTTATCCTCTTGTGGTGCTCCTTTATCCCACTCTGGTGCTCCTTTATCCCATTCTGCTGCTCCTTTATCCCATTCTAATGGTCCTTTATCCCATCCTGGTGCTCCCTTATCCTTTCCTAGCACTCCTTTATCCTGTTCTGTTGCTCCTTTATCCCATCCTGGTGCTCCTTTATCCCACTCTGGTGCTCCTTTATCCTGCCCTGATGCTCCTTTATCCCACTCTGGTGCTCCTTTTTCCTTTCCTGCTGTTTCTTTATCCCATCCTGGTGCTCCTTTATCCCACTCTGATGCTCCTTTATCCCATCCTGGTGCTCCTTTATCCTTTCCTAGTGCTCCTTTATCTCATCCTGGTGCTCCTTTATCCCACTCTGATGCTCCTTTATCCCATCCTGATGCTCCTTTATCCCACTCTGGTGCTCCATTATCCCATCCTGGTGCTCCTCTATCCCACTCTGCTGCTCCTCTATCCTGCTCTGGTGCTTGGATGGTGGTACCCAGAGGAACCCGAATCCCCCACATTCCCTTTTAAGACCTTTGTAGAACTCCCCAACCCCAGTCAGGGCCATTGGGGCCGTGACCTTCTCTGAGCTCCACGTGGAAAACCAGATCCACCAGGCTGAAGGTGCTCCCAGATGTTGCCAAATCTCCTTTCCCGGGGCCCCAGGGCACGTCTCCTTTCTCCCGACGAGGGACACGGAGCCCTGGGAATGGGGCTGCTGAGGAGCCCCGTGAGCTCAGAGCAGCTCTGTGCCCGCACAGCCCCCGTCCCTCAGCTCCATCCCACCCCCAGGGTGGCTCCTGGGCCCCTTTTCCATCCCAGGAGCGTGTGGAGTTTAATTGGGCTCCATTAAAACAACCCGGATCCACACAGTGAGCTGGGAATCCCAGAACCTGCTGAGCTGGAAGGGACCCAAAGGGTGGACATTAAAGGGGGATCCCACTGGTCCCAGCCCCAGCATTCCATGAGAAGTTGGAGCTCTGAGCTTTTCCAGCTTTTTGTCCCACCCTGAGCTTCCAGGAGTGGGAATCCAGGCCGGAAGGAGGCACCTCCCGAAGGGACATTTGGGGTCCTGGGGGCACTTCCCCAGGGGCAAGAGCACCCCCGGGAGATGGGGATTCGGGTTCCAAACCCCCAGGGCTGCTCGGGGGGACGGGGGGGACGGGAATGCCCCTGGGAGACGGGGATCCGAGGGGACCAGAGGGTCTGGATGCTCCGGAAAGGTGGGACCCCTGAGCTGTGAGGATGAGGAGGGAGGAGAGTGGGGAGAGATCCTATTGAGGAGAGAGGAGTGTGGTGAGAGATCCCACTGAGGAGGGAGGGGATCAGTGACAGATCCCAGTGAGGAGGCAGGGGAATGGGGAGAGATGTGAGAGATCCCAGTGAGGAGGGAGGGGATCAGTGAGAGATCCCACTGAGGAGGGAGGGGTGTGTGAGAGATCCCAGTGAGGAGGGAGGGGATCGGTGAGAGATCCCAGTGAGGAGGGAGGGGATCGGTGAGAGATCCCAGTGAGGAGGGAGGATGTGGTGAGAGATCCCAGTGAGGAGAGAGGGGATCAGTGAGAGATCCCACTGAGGAGGGAGGGGATCAGTGACAGATCCCAGTGAGGAGGGAGGGGAATGGGGAGAGATGTGAGAGATCCCAGTGAGGAGGGAGGGGTGTGAGAGATCCCAGTGAGAGGGAGGGGATCAGTGAGAGATCCCAGAGAGGAGGGAGGATGTGGTGAGAGATCCCACCGAGGACGGAGGGGATCAGTGAGAGATCACAGTGAGGAGAGAGGGGATCGGTGAGAGATCCCACTGAAGAGGGAGGGGGGTGTGAGAGATCCCACAACTCCCGGGGCGCTGTGGGGACAAGAGGAAGGGACGGGGTGTCCCAGCACAGGGAGGGATTCTTGGCGTGTCCCGCGCAGGGAGCTGGGCTGGGTGATGCCGGTGGGTCCCTTCCAGCTCAGCACATTCCCTGATCCCGCGATCCTGCGCCGTGAGGGCTCCGAGCCTTTCCCTGCTCTGGGTCCCCACCTGCTGGAGACGCCGGGTGGGATTGGGAGGTGCCGGGTGGGATTGGGAGGTGCCGGGTGGGATTGGGATGTGCCGGGTGGGATCTGGGAGGTGCCAGGTGATGGGCGCGGGGGTCCCGCCGGGGCAGGAGCTCAGAGGGGTTTCCCTGCGGCTTCTCCAGGACGTTCCATGAGGGGCTTTTCCCTTCCAGGCACGGCTGATGCCTCCCTTCTCCCCCAGCTGGAGTTTGCAGGGATCGAGGGGTGGGTGGGCACCAAGCAGGCTCCTTTTGGGACCCCGAGGGCTGTGGGTCCTTCCTGGTCTCTCCCCTCCTGCCCCGGCCCCTTTCCTCACTCTTGGTTTGTGGTCCTGCCTCCAGGGCTGGATTCCCACCTCGTGTTCTGCCTTTGGAGTTCCCACCTCGTGTTCCCGCCTTCAGGACCGAGTTCCTACCCCATATTCCTGCCTTTAGAGTTCCCACCTTTTATTCCTGTCCTTGGGGTTGGGTTCCCACCTCTTCCCCCTCCCTGCTGCCCCAGGGATTCCCCCCTGGCCCTGGCAGGGAGTGAGATCCAGGGGATGCCCCCAGAGCCCCAGGAAGGAGCCTGGAATCAGTTCAGGAGCTGAAACCCTCCATCCGGGGGCTCGTGGAACCCCCCCGGGGGGGCCGATGGGAATTGGGGGTCCGGGTGCGGGGGGCACCTTGAAGACTTTGGGTCCATTCCAAATGGAGCTGAGGCCCCAAAACTGCCCTTCCAGAGGAACAGCCGGGATATTTTGTGGGATAAATGGGGAAACCTCCCTGTCCCAGCACTGGGTGTGCAGGTTTGGGGCTCTTTGCCCCGTGCCCCCTCCAGGGGCTGTTCCTGGCCAGGGCTGTGTCCCCGTGCTCCGTCCCCTCCCTGCTGTGACACCGATCCCTCCGTGTCCCCCCGTGCTGCTGATTCCAGGGCTGGGCTCCTCCCAGGAGAGATTAACTTGTGCTAACTAATGGCTTCCCCAGCTCATGAATCCCAGCTAAACCTTTGGGAATCCTCCTTTTCCCACCTCCCCGAGCTCCCTCCCTCCGGCAGGGACAGGCAGAAAGGGCAGCTGGGCAGGTCACCCCCACGGGGGGATTAACCTGGCTTTTGGCTCAGTCCTGAGGCAGCTTTTCCTCCACCCATGGAATCATGGAATGGTTTGGCCTGGAAAACACCTTAAACACTGTCCCATTCCAGCCCCCTGCCATGGGTAGGGGCACCCTCCACCATTCCAGGCTGCTCATCCCACCCTCCTTTTCCCCTCCCACCATTCCAGGCTGCTCATCCCACCCTCCTTCCCACCTTCCCCGACTTGTCCCAGAGCCCAGCTCGTAACACTGAGTTTTATTTCCTCAGGGAGCCGTTCCTGTCCCAGGATCTGCCCCCAGAGTGTCCCCCCTGCAGCAGGGACGGGGCACGGGCACCCAGAGCCGGCAGAGAAGAAAAGCCAAAGCCCAGCAGGCTTTAAAAATGACAAATGCTCTTTATTGGACCTTCCCGTGTGTTGGGCCTGGAGGTGAAGGGGCTGCAGCCCCGGGGACGGGGAGTTAGAAACCAAACACACACCAAGCAAAGCCTTTCCCGCGGGGGCCTGAGAGAACAGAGGGGCTGGGGGGGGAATCTTGTTGCAGACAAAAACCTTTGGAGGTTGTAACCGGAGCCGCGGGCAGAGGCTTTGGGAGCCTCTCGGAGGTGTTTTTGCCGCCGAGGACCCGGGGCTGTGGCTCCACAAAGTGGTCAGACGTGGTTTAGGACGAACGAAACCTCGTCCCCGATCAGGGATGCGCTTCCCCTTCCCTTTGGACGCGCGAATCCAAAGGGAGATCGAGGACAGAGGCGCTCCCGGGGGTCCCCAAAGCCCCGCCGGGGACCCGCCACAAACCAAAGGTGCTTCGGCCAAAGGCGCTCCGGGGTCCGGAGGGGGGTCCTGGATCCCCCCCCGCGGGCCCGGAGCTGAAGGACAGAGGAAGGAGAGGGTCTAGCGCAGCTATTTACACCCTGGGCGCGCAGGGCAGGGGCAGGCGGGACCCGCTCCCGCCGCCCCCGGGGGGCTCCCCGCCCTTATCTGATGGTCTTTTTGCTGGTGGTGGTCTTGGAGACGATCCTGACGCTGCCGCCCGTGCTGGAGCTCACGCCTCGGCTGCTGCCGGAGCTGAAGGTGCTGCCCCCGCCGTAGCTGAGCCCCCCGAAGCCGCCGCCGCTGCCGCCCCCGAAGCCGCCGCCGCTCACGGAGAATCCGCCGCCGCCGCCGCCGCCCATCCCGAGCCCTCCGCCCATCCCCAGGCAGCTCCCGCCGCCGTATCCCATCCCGCTGGAGCTGCTGACCACGGCTGGGGGGAAAACACACCGCGAACACCCGCGTTAGGGTCCCGCTGCCCCCCAAAACCCCAAACTGGGGGGGTCTGTCGGGAGAGAGGGAGGGGGGAGGTACTTACAGACGCTGACGGCTCCCACTCCTTCTCCAGCCAGCCTGTTGGGAAAGGGGGAAGTGAGGAATGATGCCAAAAACTGTCCGTGGGAGCACAGAATTTGGGCTCCCGGGGGGTCTCTGGGCTGGGGCAGGGCCGGGCCACGGGCGGGAGGTGACAACGCGCTTTTTGAGCAGCACCGGGAGGTGACAATGCTCGTTTTGAGCAGCACCGGGAGGTGACAATGCTCGTTTTGAGCAGAGCCAGGAGGTGACAACGCTCGTTTTGAGCAGCACCGGGAGGTGACAACGCACTTTTTGAGCAGCACCGGGAGGTGACAATGCTCGTTTTGAGCAGAGCCGGGAGCTGGGGGAACGAAGCTTTTCCTACATGATTTAATCACCCCTCTCTGCCCCGGAGCTCCGGCCCCTCGGGAGGAGCTCTCTGAGCGCAGGGAGAGGGGCCCTGCCCTGAGGAGCAGCGGCACAGGACAGGTCCCCGTGTCCCCACCTGCTCTCCTCGCCCTCCAGCAGCTTCCTGTAGGTCGCGATCTCGATGTCCAGGGCCAGCTTGACGTTCATGAGCTCCTGGTACTCGCGGAGCTGCCGGGCCAGGTCCTGCTTGGCCTTCTGCAGGGCGTCCTCCAGCTCGCTCAGCTTGGCCTTGGCATCCTTGAGGGCCAGCTCCCCGCGCTCCTCGGCCTCGGCGATGGCAGCCTGGAGGTTGGCACACTGGGAGGGAGGAGAGTGGGGACCTGGTTGGATTGGGATGCCCCAAACCTCTCTCCCGAGTGTTGCTGGGGGGGTGCAGACACCAGGGTGGCACTGAGAGCCCAGAGAACCACAGGGGGATCACAAGGACCACCGAGTCCAACTCTTAGCCCCACACGGGACACCCCAAAAGCCACACCCCACACCTGAGAGCGTTGTCCAAACACTCCTGGAGCTCTGCCGGGTTTGGGATCACTGCCCTGGGGAGCCTGGTCCAGCTCCTGGTGGGATCTGGCTCTTCCCAACATGCTCGACCTCCACCAGCTCCCACCCACCTTGCACCCCGTGGGACCCCCCTGCAGGACCCCCCTGCAGGACCCCCCCGTCCCACCTGCTTCTTGACGCTGTCGATCTCGTTGCGCAGCCTCTGCACCATCCTGTTGATCTCCGAGATCTCGATCTTGGTGTTCCTCAGGTCGTCCCCGTGGCGCCCGGCCGAGACCTGCAGCTCCTCGTACTGGGACGGGGAAGGAGAGCACTGGTTACACCTCGGGGGGGGGGGGGGCGGGGGGGCGGAGGGGGGGAGGAGCGGGGCTGGATGGGGGGAAAGGGCTGGGGGACAACATTCCCTTGAGAAAGTTGCCCGTGGAAGGGCAGCGTTTGCCCTCGGTTGTCGATGCTTGGTGTGATTGCACAGAGCCCACACAGCAGCCCGGGAGGGAAAGGGAGTCAGGTCAGAGCCACCAGCGAGCCCGAGGTCAGGGCATTGACCCATCTCATCCCTGACACCCCCTGGATCCCGGGAATCAGGCTGTACCCCTGGGAATCAGGCTGTACTCCCAGGAATCAGGTTGTGCTCCCAAGAATCAGGCTGTGCTCCCAGGAATCAGGTTGTGCTCCCAGGAATCAGCCCATGTTCCCAGGAATCAGGCTGTGCTCCCGGAATCAGGCTGTGCTCCCAGGAATCAGGCTGTGCTCCCAGGAATCAGGTTGTGCTCCTGGGAATCAGGCTGTACTCCCAGGAATCAGCCCGTGCTCCTGGGAATCAGCCCGTGCTCCCGGAATCAGGCCGTGCTCTCAGGAATCAGCCCATGTTCCCGGGAATCAGGTTGTGCTCCTGGGAATCAGGCTGTGCTCCTGGGAATCAGGCTGTGCTCCCAGGAATCAGGCTGTACTCCCAGGAATCAGGCTGTGCTCCTGGGAATCAGCCCGTGCTCCCGGAATCAGGCTGTGCTCCTGGGAATCAGCCTGTGCTCCCAGGAATCAGGCTGTGCTCCTGGGAATCAGCCCGTGCTCCCGGGAATCAGGTTGTGCTCCTGGGAATCAGGCTGTGCTCCTGGGAATCAGGCTGTGCTCCCAGGAATCAGGTTGTGCTCCTGGGAATCAGGCTGTGCTCCCAGGAATCAGGCTGTGCTCCCAGGAATCAGGCTGTGCTCCCAGGAATCAGCCCATGTTCCCAGGAATCAGCCCATGTTCCCGGGAATCAGCCCATGCTCCTGGGAATCAGCCCATGCTCCTGGGAATC